TTTCCCAGGAAAACCCTGCACCAAAGTCTTTTGCCTTGTTCAAGAGGTTTTCCACCGAGGCTCCAGCTGCCTCTGCCTTCTCTTGTGCCTCTTGGGCCAGATTAGCAGCCAGTGCTTCTTGCTGCGAAAGCTTTTTCACCTCTTGTTCCAACTTCTTTGCTGATTCAGCTGCTTCACTGGCTTTTTCTGCAGCCACTCTTGCCGCCTCCTCTGCCTTTGCTTTCTTCTGCATTTCAGCATAGGCTTTCCTTCTTCCATCCTCGGGAATAGGACTGCAAAGGAACTCATAAATCAGATAGAAATAGATACTGATCCTCCTTACTAAAATATCATTGTTCTGCTATAGATGAAAAAGAGACACAACTAGCTATACATCATGTTTTACCTAAAAAGTTCATCCACACGCTTCAAAGGGGCATTCGGATCCGAGTACACTTTCACGACCTATTAGATTAAGAGAGAGGTGTATTGGTCAAACCGAAAGCTTCGATCTTTGATGTCAGAAGCACTAGTATAAAGATTTTATAAGAAATTTCAGCAAACACTGGATGCATAATCCGTAAAAGAATACCTTGTTTTCTGCTACCTCAGTATTGGCGAAGACATCAGCCACCAACGATGCAATCTTGGACTTCGCTACCTACATCATTTTCTAAAAGTCTATTATTACCCACCGGTATGGGGAGAAAAAGGGTGGGGAAAAAAGGAAACAATATCATTCATCGCATACATTACATTACTTTATAGTCGTTCGCACTAGTGTTTCCCTCGCCCAAGACGACCACATTGTAGGAACTTTCGGGTGCGAAATCATCGGTCAAACTTGTCTTGATGAAGGTGTATTTGACGTCAGTTTCAATAACTTTCTGTAGGAACTCTTGTATGGTCAAGGGTTGAGACCGAGAGAAGAGATTGTTGAAGAAGGAGGAGAGACCGTCCAGTACATTGTAGGTTGAGGCCCCAACGCCGTTCTCGTCGTAGATGACAGCCACGTGGCCAACTCCGGCCAACTGTGCTGCCTGAACCACTTGCAATGCGTCTGATGCCGACACCTCTGCTGTTGGACCGTTCTCTGCGGAACTAATGGTGACAACCACTTTGCTGGCGTTGCCTATGGCTTTGGCTATTGAGTCAGCGTTGTCAAAGCTTGATTGCACAGCATTCAAACGCTTTGCCTGCTCATTTGATATAATCTGTGTATTCACCATGCATGAATTAGTTTCCGAAATGCACTCCAAATAGAAATTATATAAAGAGTAATGATATGCAACCGTATCTCTCTTATCACATTTATATTTTTATTCTCCTCGTCGCTCATGTACTACCTATCTATTCACCACAGATTAGTGCCAACAAATATTTTTCCTATCATAAATGGTCAACACATGTCCCATTGATTCTTCTGTAATACTAGTGATTTCTCCGGAGTTTTAGCACTTTCGTTACTTAGACCGTGAAATTAGAATTAGTAATCTTTCTTGCCACATAAGATCCAGTTCATTAAGTAGTCTTAATATTTATAAAAAAGTGTGTTTCAATCTAAATATCTTATTTGCAAATTGCATTTTTTATTAGTATAACTTTACACGGTGCTGATCATTTTTTGTGTTTGGCATGCAACAGAATTTGTGACGTGATGTTCTTAAAAAAGTGTTGAAATACTTGAGGTGAATGTTGTTACATAATTATTATAATATTTGAGTGATCACCATATTTTAAGATGGTTTAATTAAACCCGTATAACAGTAAACATGTTACAGATCTCGCTTTTCATGGTGGCTCGTGTAATGGCGAAGTTGATCATATTCTTCTTTTCAAAAGTACAGCAACGTATGACAAAGAAACATGTAATTTAGTAGGAATAAAAAAAGATTAACTGTTTTGGTAAGTGATCCTCGAGACGTTCAGAATTTGAAGAATTAAAAAGGTTAATGTTTGAAGTGGAAGCTGATTAAGAGAGAGGTTGACCTTGTATTGAGCAGCAAGACGAGCCAATTCCTGTGCAGAGCCAAGTTCGGAGACTCCAGCCCGAACACTGAAACCTTCCCTAAGAAGCGTCTGTGCAATGCGAATACCAGCCTGCCCTGTGGCGCCAGCAACGAAGACGGTTGAAGGATCTTTGCGCCTTGGATTTCCAAATGAAAAGCCTGGCGAAGAATTGTTGGCTGGAACTGGGATCAAGGAAGTGACATCGGGTATCTTTCCAAAGTCTAAACGAAAAGGGTTGGAATTGGAAGAGGTATCTTTGTCATCAGGAGAAGATGAATCATCTTTGGGTTTGCCAAGCCCAAATGATGGGAATGATCCAGACTTCTTGGCGAAGACTCTGAGCCTTGGGTTCCGGAGGGTGAACCTTGAATGGGGGGTTGTGGTTAGGAGGGATGAATTGGACGTAAGAGTGGGAGTCATGGATGGATTTCCAAGCTCACCCTCGCCTTCAATAGGAGGGACTATACGTCTTTTGGATTCTCTACCTTTACCTCTACCTCCTCGCCCTTTCAATCACTGATTTTCTTTCGTCTTCTCACAATTATCCCAATGGGAGAGGAAACCGCAGTCTGGCCAATTGTCTCCAGCCACGTACTCATACTTTATCCTTTGCGGAAATATCCAACACCAAGCGTTCCAACAGCACAGAAAATGACGTTCCCTTTTAAAACACGATCGTGAATCGAAAATCGTATCCCCTCTAGCACTGTTTTCGTCCATTAATGCAACACTGTGCTAGTTATGGAATTTTTTTACACTGAACTTTGGATAAGGGTACAATGTCCCAACCCAATATATGGTAGCAAAAGCTTTCGTATGCAAACAACTGTGGGCTAAAACAAATATTTCGAAACTTGTTTTCCTTTGTGAACCATTTACTTATTACATACACATTAATATTGTCTGGAGATGAAGACAAAACAGAAGTTGAACATATATAAAAATGAGACAAAAGAACTACACGGATCAGTTTTGTTAGCCTTGTGTCGTCCGATGTTAAGTTCCATGGTCGATCGGTTATAAAAAAACAAATCTAACAATTAATTATAAGACTACCGTGAGTAATTGGACCATAATTAAAACGTTATTAAGGTAAAAAAAAACTCAGAAACTTACAAATATAGTATGTCGGTAAGATAATTATTATTTTAACATCTATTGTATTTATTAAATTCTGTCTTAACCGCTGACTTGAAAGGACAAAATGACACACAATAGGAGGGAAGAGAGAAGATGTCTAAACAAAGGAAAGATATAGCCAGTTGAACAGAGAATACAGTTTGTGTATCTTTAGCCCTACATACAATAACAGAAGTATATACGTATGTAGTATGTTTTGAACAAAGTATTGTATGAGACTCCATCCCTTGACTATAAGTACCAATACTATGGTTGATTAAAAAAGTCGAAACTTCACAATTAGTAACTGCAAAGAAAAATGCGTGCACATGGGATAAAACTAAAAGAGAGTACGAGGGCTAATTACTTACGCATAAAGTGATTAGCATAACAAATTTTATTTAAAGGCCACGATAGGCATCCCTGCATGGAACGAGTGTCGAGCTGCTGTGACCAGACTCACTTGAATAAATAGCTTAATATCGAATATCGTTCAAAACGAGTGTGACAACAGTGTGCTTCTACGGTTCTCTGATTTAGTCTAGCCAAACACATGACGCCATTCAAAACGTTAACCCAAAACCAGTACTCACTCACTTTTCAGAATAGTATTTTCAAAATGATAAAATAAGTATGAAATACCAATTTTCCGTAAAACTATAAACTATATTTCTAACTTAAAATACACACATACTAAATAAAACTTAATTTTATATGTCCAAAATGGTCGTGTTAATACTAGAAATATCCTCTATCACAATCCACGGTTAATCAAAAACATCAGCTTCAAATTTATATTCAACCCACTGTTGGATATAACTCCACAATGAAGCCAAAAATACAAATATTTTTAAAACATTATTTATATTACAAGTATTTTTAAAACAAGTCCTTCAAAAGAAGGCCGAAAAATGCTTTCACGGCAATATACAAATATTTTTTATTTATATTTTAAAAACCAAATTGCATTAACATACCCACACCCATTTTTTCAAAAACTAACATTTGTTTCTTGTAGTGTGCTCGTAGCATTCACGCCACACGGGGAACACGGCGTTCAAAGTTCTCAAGCAAAGGGCGAAAATATAAGTTTTGAATCGCAACCAAGTAAAACCTGGAAACAAGCACTCGTATCACATAAAGTAAAAATAAACAAGGCGTAACATCGCAACGAAGCAACCATACGACCCACAAGACAGTAATACTTTAAAAGATATCGCCAACTTCTTGCAAACAATCAAAGTAGGTAAACGACCACATATTTGTACAACAAAGCATACAGCTACATCAAACTCAATGGACCCAATAAATGCTTTCAAGGAATAATACCGGGAAACAGCCCAGAAACAACTCCTGAGATGCCAACGTTAATCATGAAAAATATACAGCGGTAAAGAACCACCTGTGTTATATACAACAGATTTACCTATAATGCTCTTCTAGAACTAGAAAAATGGCTAAAAGAATGAATACTTCACCTGAATTGAAGTTCAAAATAAAGATCTGCACATGGTCTTCTCACCAGGTCATCTAGAGTTGACATAAAATTCATCTACCAATTGACCAGAAAGCTAATTTAGTATAAAACTCATTAATAATATTACCAAGACCTTCAGGATTAATCTGGTCTAAATAGGAAACTAGTCAACATTACTAAGCACATCAAAGCCATAGGGAAATAGAGAAAAGAAACGTGAAACAAACCAAAAAACAGTAGAAGATAGAACCAAGATGCACCACCCAAAAAACATGAAATTCCCAACTAAGGGGAGACAAATATTACCAGTAAATATAGGGCAATGTCTGCATAGAGTTGTACTCAACAGATTTGCTCAGTAAGCGTCATTTATCCATTTCCGCTGCCAGCATTAAAGATAGATAACATCAAACAGTTACCAAAAAATAAACAAACATAACATTTGTAAATGGGAAGTTCCTAAACAAACTAAGATATTTCTCAAGTTTTTAAATAAAACAACTTAAAAACTCAGAAGTGATGCATTTAATTATTGATGCCCCTCTTTGCTTTGAGGGATTCAAGAGCCTTATTCCGCAATTCAATCTCAAGCTTCTTTTGCTCAGATGGTGTCTCTTCACCATCACTTTGATGATAATCTCGTCCAGCTTCCTCGTCATCTGAAATATTGTCTGTTTTACTTTTCAGCTTCAGCTTCTCTGCACGTCGTTCTTCCCTTCTGCGACGCCTCTCTTCCCGTCTTCTACGCTTATCCTCCTTCCGCAACTTCTTCTCCTCCTTTCTCCTCTTCTTAGCCTCTTTCCTGTCCTCTATCTTAGAATCATAACTATAATCCTCGTCAGAAGACGCATATTTTTTCTCAGACCTTTTATGCCTTTTCCTGTCCTTGCCCTCTCGTCTATGCTTACCACTTTCCTCAGAATCAGAATCATGTGAAGCACTCTGATTGCCAATATCATCTCTTCCAACTAAATATGGAGTGGCTTCTGATTTGTGGTGCCGATCACTACTTTTGGCATAATTTGAACGGGATTGGTCCTTGTCATCTGATTTTTTAATATCTACAGATTCACGAGGCTTCTCCCTCGAAAAAGTTTCCTTGTTAACTGAGGGCTTTTGTTGAGAAAGAAATTCATTGCCTTTTCCAGCAGACTTATCCCTGCCAAAGAAGTTTACCATTGTCAGATATGTATTCAATGTAGTGTAGAAGCCAACCATCCCAATAGTTAGAACAGCTGCAGTAAGTCAACCATATTACCCTTTTATTTCCCGGTCTTTCTTACTCCAATCATTGTTATGTTCAGAAGCTGGATGACCTGCATCCCTCTCAGGAGAGAACTCATCCTCATGACCATATTTTGCAGGTGAACCTTTTCTCGTACTAGCTGGTGACTGTCTTACTATCTTGTGTGATGAGTTTACTTTAGAATCTCTCCTTTCTCTAACAAAAGAAACGTAAAAAAAATGAGAAAAGAACAAGAAAAACAATAAATGAATCAATAATAGTAACTTGTATTCATTGTTCTAGTTGAGATTGATATTAGATAACGGAAACTACAGGGGATCCAACAAGCCCATTATGAAAAAATATAAAAAAACCATATTGGGTTATGGTGGAAGCATTGTGGTCAAATAAATATGATATATACATATTGACAAAATTAAGACAAGCAGAAATATATTTGTAATGCTAAAAAGAATGAAAGACAACCATATAATTAATAATAATAATAATAATAATAACAATAATAATAATACCATGTCTAGAAATTCAAATAGCAACAAAATTAAATGAAAAACATTACGAAATTCGAACTCTAAACTTAAAATAACAACAAAATACTAATGTCCTAAATTTCTAGTCATATTTTTTATGTTCTTAAATCACCTTGTTCAGCTGCCTTTGGGGTTGCTATAAAATAGATGATTAAATGTTTCAGATATTAGAGAATAATTAGAGGAAAAGAAGAAAAAAATAATTTAGAGAGGGTGAGTGCACTAAACAAAGAGGAAATAGAAAATGAAAAGGAAAAAAAATAAGAGAGAGGACTTTCAGAGGAACTGGAGGTGGCTGTGGAGGCAAGTAAGTGTCAGGAGGGCACGGCAATGGGCCAGTGACAATGCTGTAATGCGACGCTGTGAACCAGAGGAGGCTGTGGCATTAATTTACTTTTTTGTAGTTTTTTGGGTTTGGGTCGGGTTGTATGACCCTTTTTTTTGTTTTAAAAAGAAAGACTACTGCACTGATCCAACATCAAAGAAAAAATTAGGCTTCTTGAGTGTGTCGGGTCAGATTGGCCCATGCTGGTCCGAGGCATCTTCCACATGCTTCACAATTTCCACCATGGCTGCTACAAACCACTACTTTGACAGCCAACACAGCCTCTATGAGCCATGAAAGACCCAATTAACCACCACCATGCTGTGACAACCGCAATAAGTCTGCCACCAGCACATAGTCCACCACTGAAATTCACCATGGCAAAGCCATGGCTGCTTTTCAATAACACTGCTTGTATTCCTAAAATTAAACCAACTAGCTAAACAGTTATATGATCCAATATCAAACCTGGAATAGTATGTTTCTTCTGCTTCATCTCTAGTCTGTGGGCTTTCATGGCTAGATTTCTGGGTTCTTTGTTTCTTTAAAGGACTCAAGCTTCTTTTATTAGATAACTCTTCTTTTTGTTTCATAGTGTTCCCATGAGGACTAAACATTTGCAAAGAGCAAAAAGTAAGTGTGCGTGAACATTTAAAATGGTGGAGGTAAGAATATAGCTCAAAGTGAAGAAAAACTACCTTCTACCTTCACTGCTGGTCTCACTCCTTGCTTCTGCAGATACAGATCGATTTGGAGATTTCTCCGGAGTGGACATTGACTCTTGTGATTTTTTGTTCAAAGCTTTGCCTCTTCGTACAGACCCCACAGGGCTACTCCTGAATATTTTATAAATTTAAATTTAAATGCAGAACAAATCACGTTCAAACTATCACTACTTAATTTTGTTGTCCCTCACAAGGTGTGGGGTCATTATAAAATTCCAAAGTTGAAACTTCAAACCTACTTCAAAATTGAATAAGCAATTATGTATTTGAAATATGTCTTTCTTAAACACTTCAATATTATCGAATTAATAAATTTAAGAGGGCCAGAGACAAAACTAGACGGCAATTTTATTCAAAAGCTACTATACCTGACTCTCCTTATAGAAGACTGCATGGGACTTCTTTGTTGTCTTTGAGAACTTTTCCTATTTGGAGAGGTTGAAACATGTATTGGAGACTGAGAACTCCATTCATCTCGAGGAGACCTCTGAGGGGAGATACTTGGAGATCTATTCTTGCTAGGAATAGGTGATCTGCGTCGCAATGGGGATGGTGAGTGTGGAGGAGTTCTACTACCATACCTTCGTTGTATTGGGGAGGGGGATTGCATGGGAGATTCTGATCTATTCCGAGCACTGATTGGTGGAACTCGACGGACTGGAGAAGGTGATCTATGCCGAGTGACAGGTGATCTTCGTCGTCTAGGTGAAGGTGATCTTCGTCGTTTAGGTGAAGGTGATCTTCGTGGTCCAAGAGGTGATGGTGATCTATGTCTGTGACCGGGTGATCTCCACATTCCAAGAGGTGATGGGGATCTGTGTTTGTGCCCTGGGGATGGTGATCTATGACGACGACCAAGAGACGGTGATCTATGACGACGACCAAGAGACGGTGATCTATGATGATGATCAGGAGACGGAGATCTACGTCGTCGTACCAAAGGAGATCTATGTCTTCTCCCAAGAGAAGGAGACCTGCGTCGTCGCACTGGAGAAGGTGACCAACGTCGTCGCACTGGAGAAGGTGATCTTCGTCGTTGCACTGGTGAAGGTGACCTCCGCCGTTGCACCGGTGAAGGTGACCTCCGTCGTCGCACTGGTGAAGGTGACCTTCGTCGTCGCACCGGTGAAGGTGACCTTCGACGTCGATAAGAAGGTGAACTTCGGTGCACTGGTGAATGAATTCTACGTCGTATAGGAGAAGGAGATCTGTAGCTTGAGCGAGATCCAGATCTTCTCCTCAAATAAAGTGACCTCCTATGAGGAGAACGTCGTGGTGAATGCCGATGAGGAGAAATAGATCGTCTTCGTGGAGAACGGTGAATCTTTTCAAAAGAAGGAGAGCGTCCTCGAGCTGTTGGAGACCTAGACATACTTTTTGACCTGTGTCTACCACTAAACAATATACACCCATTAATACAAAACGACAAATCTAAATTAAAATATAACGCTCAGTATAGTACTTATTAGAAGACTAATGGGGTGGGGAATGAAATAAGATCCAACAGCTGACCAAGTTGCATTTAATTACGCATCAAATTTGGATACCCTGAATATACAAGCATACCCTGAATAACTTCGGGAATTTGAAAATGATTTGCTCATTGACCTTGAGGGTGAGCCTCTGCATGAAATGGCAAACACAACGTATTGATAACCTTCCAATTCAATATAAAAAAGAAAGGTGAAAATATGTTTTAATGTTAGTTTTTAATAGTTACCGATGAGGTGAAGTAGAAACTGCAGGTGAATGTGGGGACCTAGAAAGTCTATAATAAATTAACAGTCAATTAGTACATAAGAATTCATCTTTAAAGTTTGAAGGAGCACAGTAATGTTTATGTGGATTCTCTACACTCAAACACCAACCAAATACTCAACTAACAAGTAAAGCTTCAGAAAGAAAAAAAGTTCAAAATATATTGCATGGTGTGATTGACATTACTTGATAAACTTTAAATATGTAATTCCAACCACATCAAACGTAATATTTATACATCACATTTTACGCACATAAATAAATATTCATAATGTCAGAAGTTTCAGCAAATTTATGCAGATTACATTGTGATTTATTTTAATTAATATAGGCAATTTTAAGGTTGCCAATTGTCATGAAAAAATGAGCTCTAATAGGATATAGATTAGGATTTAAGAATGCCTTTTTAAGTTTGTGGGCAAGTTAGACGAGCTTATACTATAAACAGACCTTATATCTCCGATTGGGCAAACTCAAGCAAGGGTTCTAGGTCATATAACAACATACACCAAATATAACAAAATAATAATCCACTGACTGTGAGAACCAAAAGAAATCATTTCATATTCTGGAGCCTAACCCATAGGTAACCACTAAAAAGTAAAAGAAATAACATAACATGTAATTATTAAAAAAAAATCCATTTCACCTGCTCCTTGCCCTGACACCATTCCTCTTTTCAGTTTCCTTCCCATCTCGATCATATCCTGAATCCTTCGACTTTGAATTTGGAGCTGATGCAGTATCCTTATCCTTGGAATCAAATCCACCGTCCTACAGTAGTTTGAGGTAAAGGACATGAACCCAAATAATTGCAGAAGCTAGCTGAACGCCATGGAAACACAAATGAAAGTTAAAACCAAAATCTCAGCTCTATAAAATGTAACTCCAGCATGTACAGAGTAGTATTACCAGTTTCTTAAACCTCTCTTCCAAAATATCTCTACCTTCCTTATCCTTTTTCCTCTGAATTTCACTGGTTATACGATCATTTTCAGCCTAAAACATTCACAAGAAAAACCCTTTTTTTTTCAGAAACCCACAAGAATAAAGAGAAAAGGCATTTTGAGACAAAAATGAATGGCATATTGAACTTCAATAGCACCTTCTTCTTCAAAAGTTCTTCTTCCTTGGCATCCAAGAACTGCTGAGGAACACCACTGGCATTTTTCTGTGCACTGAGAAGAAGTGTCCAAAGTTCTTTCATGAACTTTCCGGTGTTCTTTTCCATAAATCCAGTAATTTGTATTTGAACTTCCTTCCCGTTCACTTCCTGCGTCATAATGAAAAGAATGTGACCAAATGGTGAAAAATTAAAGCACAAATATGTGAAAAAGTTGGCAAAAAACCAAGTAATACAACAAAAAAATGCATGACTACATGTATGTTACTGATAGTTCAATTTAAGGAGTAAGACTTCTCAATCACAACCTAAAAGCAAATAGATGTTAGGCAAATAATATAAATATAATTTTTAACAAAACACGTTAAGAGGGGGAAAAACAAATTACAAAGGTGAAAACGCTTTTTAATCTCCATGATTAATAACATAAAACTACCTTAGCATCCAGAAGACTGTGTATGAAGTTAATAAGCACTTCATCCTCGAAACCAAGAAACTCGGTCACCCTTCTGGTGACCCAAGGCTTAATTACTTCCATATTCACCTTCGTCATGTCCACCTACAAACCATCAAGCATATCTGAATTGAAACAAAAAAGAGGCAAACGGAAAGGAACTGACTACAAACTAGTGCAAACTTTATTTATCAAGTTCACACAAACGATAACCCTCGTCGCACCCAAACAGCAAAAGCGTTTCAACAAACCCTAAAAACTAAAGATTTAAACAAGAAAAACAGACCAGATGCTCCAATTCCGGTGCAAACTTCTGTGATTTCATCAGCTTGGCTTGCTTGTTCGAAAACCGAGTGTCCTGGTCCGCGGATGTGCCCTGAATACAAAATTCAACAAAGCTGAGTATCACGCTGCAATTAAGATGACAGTTAATGGGAAAAAGGAGAAGATCTGAGAAATGTTGAGATATTTTAGGTAGGATTAAACAGGGGAAAGAGTTAATTGCAAGCTCAGAGGTGCCGCTATACTAACTCGAAAGAAACCTCCCGACATCTTTTGATGGCAATCGTTTCCGTACGGAGCGAAGAGTGTGTGACGGAGATTGCGAACGAGAACCCACAAGCGGAGAAAGGCGGATTCGGAGCAGAACTTAGGTTTAAACTACGGCACATACACCGATATAAATAGGGGGAGAGAAGATGGATAGGTTCTGATTCTCAACACTGTGGTTGAGAAGAGAAGAAGAGAATAAGAGAAGAGGAGAAGAAGAGAACCGAGTTCCAGAGTTGGAGCGCAGACTCGCTATCTTGGAACTCTGTTGCGTTTCAGAACCTACTCGAAGCGTGCCCTAATTGCACTGACCCAATTACAAAATCATCCCTCCAGTGTGCAATTACAATTCCACCCTTTTAGATCCACAGGTACGGATAGATGATTAATTAATTAATTACAGAGGAAGAAATTATTTTTCTTATTATTGTTCATGAAAACAAATGTAAATGATAATAAAAATATTATTTGACTGAGAAAATATAAGGAAAAGTATGTTTTCAGTTTCTGTAATTTTGTTAACTTGATTTCGATTCTATCCTACAAAAAGTAATTAATTAGTTTTCACATGTATAAAATAAAATTAATCCTTATATCAACTTAATAGTAAATAGTAAATTTAGATATAAAAAACTAAAGTAAAATATTTTAAAAACACTTAAGTATTAAATTAATCAATTTCAAAATACAATGACCAAACGTAAATTTGAAAAAAAAAATCTTCGAAATATATTCAACAAATAAATATATTTTCAGAAATTTAGTAACTTACATGGAATGATCAAAATTTATGTATTGATAACAGTTTCGTAAATAAGTGCTGATATTTTTAGTTAATTGTATGACCCGCGCGAGTGAGAGAATTCAATAGGAGGCACATTAAAGCGTTATCTATAAAAATTTATATTTTATTAAATTAAATTAAAAGTAAAAATATTTTATTTTTATTAATTAAATTTAATTAAAATTAAAATTTAATTTATATTATTATATTTTATATTTTATAATTTTATTTTAAAAAATTATAAAATATTTATTTTTAAATATTTGTGGATGTTTATCCATGTGAATTTTTAAACATCCTCAAATAATTTTTAAATAAATATCTGACCAATAAAAGAAAGTGAATAGTAAATATTTTTTTTCTGTTTCGATTTGAATAACAAATAAATATTATCTTTATTTACATACTTTATCCGTTGTCATTTTTATATAAACTGTTAGATTTTTAACTATAATAAAGAATTATGATGATGACGCATAATTTGTTTTTGTTGTAGTTTTTTCAAATAATTTAAATATGTTTGAATGTATATTATAATCGAAGTGTTATTTCATAAGCTAGTGCCAACTTATATTTATTATACAAAAACTAAACTCTAAAAGTTGTACCTATTTTGTGTCGTGTTTTTTTATCGGATTAATAACTTATTTTCATTTACTTATATAGTACTTTGTGATTATTTTTTCTCAAGTAACTCAACTTTAAGATTATATAGTGTTTTGGTTGTAGAATCAACTAATTTTTACAAACACATTTTTACAGTTTCTTCTATGTCGTTTGAGTAGACGTGTATTTGTCTTACGTCTTCGTCCTCATTCTAAGTAATCGAGAGCGGGAGCGCCTGTGAAATGTACTCTAATGCTTTAGTCAGTAAACCGTCTGTACGAGGTGCAAAGTCTTAAAGGTAAATGTGATCATCTACTTCTTATTTTTATTTATAATTTTTTAGATTGACCTAAGACTAGTGAAATGTTAATCACGGTCCAATCTTAGCCTATTACGCTAATTGGTACTCACTCCTAGTTGTGGTTCTTGATGTTGTTTGAGAACTCTTTTGCTCTTGGGATTAATTGTTCGGTCGTCACTCATGTTATGCTAGATGATATTCTTATTATCTTTGCTCGAGATTTGGTGACATAGAGGATTGTTCACTCCTTTTCTGATTAAGACCGTTTGGTCAGACAACCGTATGGTCTCAACCAAAAGAGAAGTGGATGCCCCTTTATGTCACTAAATCCCGAACAAAGATAACACGAAGGTCATCCGACATAACATGAGTGACAACTGGACGACCAATCCCATAAACAAAACACTTCTCAAATAACATCAAGAATCATAACTAGGATTAAGTACTAATTAGTGTAATAGGTTAAGATTGGACCGTAATTAACATTCCACTAATCTTAGGCCTAGGGATGACAAAAAAATCTGCGACAGATAGTTGGTACCCGCGAATATTTACTACCCGCGGGTTACGAGTATCGGATTTTTTAATACTCGCTTATAAACGGATCGGGTGTGGGTATTATTCTATCCGTACCTGCAAAACATAAAAATAAAAACTTAATTTATATTTTATTAAGTTAAATTTAATTAAAATTAACATTAATTTATATTTTATAAAGTTAAATATAATTAAATTAAATTTTAATTTATATTTAATTTAATATATATTATATTTTTTGTAATTTTATTTAAATTTTATTATAATATTTTATAGAAATATATTTTTTTAAATATTTGCGGGGTATCCACGCATATCCGCGGGTTTTAAAATATTTGCAGATATTTTTTAAGCGGATATCTGGGTAGCGGGTGGATTTTTTTTTGTTGGATCGAGTTGCCCCGTTGCCATCCCTACTTAGGCACATATCAAAGATAAGATGTATCTGACCATATTTATTGTGTATTTAAGACTTTACTCTGACTCGTACGACTGTTTACTGACTTAAACATTAAAATATTTTTAGTAGGTATTCTCCTATAGGTTTGGAGTGTGTTTATGGAGGTTGTTTAACCCTACACCCGAAATACACACTAAGATATAATGTTTGGACTAATAATGGATGTATATAATTATTTAATTTCTGTGCTATAAAGAATTGGCAATAGAAGAAATAAATCCATATCTTATGCAAGTAAAGTTAAAAAGAAAATACTTAGAACGGCTATGTTTGTGTAATATAAGTAAAAACATATGGAAAATAACATTCAAGTTTAACTCGTAATTGTTCTTAAAGATGAAAAAGACTGCAACCACTAAGCAATTAATTTTTGGTTTCTTGACTCTGGTGAATTAGAACGCAAGCTTCCAAAGTCATTGATTATTTGAAAAATATCTTGGCAACTCTGATCGTGCTCCATACATCATCACTTCACGGTTCGTACTCCATATTCATACCCATAGCCTTATACTCTTTCTCGTTCCAGCTACCTCGCATGGCGTCAACTACTCTCTCCAACTTCTGGCTCTCTCAGTTCAACCCACTGCACAATCAACGGAAAAAGAGGCCAAAATCTCTACTCTCATCTTCTCGAACCAATCCACGCCTTGTTTCTTCCATTAACGATCATTTGGCGCTCACACGTGTCACATATCCGCTACTCCAGTCTCATTCTACTCCCAAGCGCAGATTCCACGTGAGGACTCCCCCAAATTTTCATCGAAGTTTGATGCTTTTAGTCTAATTTGGCTAAATATTCATATGGGCAGGTTGGAGTGCAGAAAGATTATTCTGATGGGGAAAGCTCTGAGTCGCTTGTTTCTGACGCAACATACCAAGAGGAATTTTCTTGGTCTTCTGTAATTCTTCCGTATGTTTTCTGTCACTGTTTCTACAGAGGAAAGGAGAGACGTTTTGGAGGGAAAAGTAAAATTTTGTCGCTCCATGAATGTGCGGAAGAGAAAAGCAAACTATATATCAATCCTACTTTAATACTCAAAAGTTTATAATTTTAAAATGTATAATAATCTGATTTCATGCTCCAATTAATCAGTATTTTATTTCAAAATATAGGTTTCTGTTCCCCGCATTGGGTGGCTTATTATTTGGTTATGATATTGGTGCCACCTCCGGTGCTACAATCTCACTGCAGGTAATTTTTTTATTCAGTGTCCTTAAATTACAACTTAATACTTTTTTAGTAAACTTTTCTATAAACATTTGTAGAAGAAGAAGAAGATAAGAAAGTAAAATACATTGAACTTCTTCACATTGTTAAAATCAACCTTTATTGTATCTTAGCTTTCGTAGAAGTTAATTAAAAAAATTTAAGCTTTTTGCGAAAATCACAATTCGCTTTACTTTTTCAGTTCTCTGACTGTTTATAGAAATTTTTATTCAAACAGGATCAAATTTATCTCTTTCTACTCTTAGTGCAGAAATGTAATCAATGATTTTTCATTTTGTTGATTTGGATCCACAGTCACCTGACCTTAGCGGAATAACATGGTTCAATCTTTCTGCCATTCAGCTTGGACTGGTGGTATGTTTTCAGCATCATAATTCGAAAACCTTTTGCAATTTCATGGAAAAGATTTTTTCATCAGTACATTAGAAACTAATTGCTACCATGAAACATAGGTTAGTGGTTCCCTATATGGGGCTCTTCTGGGCTCACTTCTCGCATATGCTATAGCCGATTTCCTTGGTAAGAGCTTTTATTAGTTATATATCCGGCAACTGAATCTTCTTTAAATTGTTTCTTATTGAATCTATTATGTCTGCTAAAACCCTAGGGAGGAAGCGACAACTCATTGCTGCAGCACTGTTGTATATAGTTGGTGGTGTGGTTACTGCATATTCACCAGAACTTGGTGTTCTCTTAGCAGGAAGGCTGCTTTATGGACTTGGTATAGGTTTGGTAGGCTACTCTGACCAGTAATAGTTTTTGCGATGTGGATAATTCTTGCACAATCTTACAAGTGCATTGTATTACAGGCCATGCATGGGGCTCCTTTGTATATTGCAGAGACATGTCCATCACAAATCCGTGGTACCCTAGTATCATTAAAAGAACTCTTCATTGTCCTGGGGATTCTGGTAATGCATTGTCTTTTATGTCTCTTATTATTAAAGAATTTACTGTGGTGAGACGGAACTCATCTTTTTTGTTATGCAGTTGGGTTATTTTGTGGGAAGCTTTCTGATTGATACAGTTGGGGGATGGCGGTTCATGTATGGATTTAGTGCTCCAGTTGCTGTATTAATGGGGCTTGGAATGTGGACTCTCCCCGCTTCTCCTCGTTGGCTGCTTCTCAGAGCAGTGCAAGGAAAAGGTTCTTTTCAAGATTTGAAGGAAAAGGCCATTGTTTCCCTGAGCAAACTAAGGGGTCGACCGCCTGGTGACAGAGAATCTGAGAGACAAATAGAAGATACCCTTCTCTCATTGAAGTCTGCCTATGGACAACAGGAATCAGAGGGGAATTTCTTAGAGGTGTTTCAGGGTCCCAATCTGAAAGCTTTCATAATTGGTGGAGGACTGGTATTATTTCAACAGGTTGGTCGATTTTAGTGCAATGAGTCTCTTCGTACTGAAGGAAATGTGGTGAAACTTTTCTGTATTTTTTTGTCTGATCAGTCACCTTATTACAATAGATAACAGGTCAACCAAGTGTTCTATATTATGCAGGCCCAATTCTTCAGGTACACAATCCTTATACTCATTTCATTTCTACTTTGTTGTGACTGAAATCTGTTCTTTCCATCTAGCTCACTTCTTATTATATTTTGTCATAAATATCCAGAGCGCTGGATTTTCTGCTGCATCTGATGCTACAAAAGTTTCAGTTGTTATTGGCTTATTCAAGGTATACCTATTTAGATTTGTCCTACCGAGGAATGGGATCACTTTGTGACACTGATGATAATTTCTGTGACTGATGTGCATGTAGTTACTAATGACCTGGATTGCTGTCCTTAAAGTTGATGATTTGGGGAGAAGGCCTCTGCTGATTGGAGGTGTCAGTGGCATTGTAGGAATCCCACCTCATATTAAACTAAAAGATTCTTAATACTCTGCAACTCGTCGTATGCAAATGGTTATTTGGTTTTCTTTAATTTCTGCAGGCCCTCTCTTTAGTTCTCCTTTCTGCATATTATAAATTTCTTGGAGGGTTCCCACTTGTTGCTGTTGGAGCTTTACTTCTTTATGTTGGTTGCTACCAGGTAAATGTCTCATGGCCAACTTTGGTCATTGGTCCTGCTTCTTTCATTATCATATTCAACCTGGAGATGAACTTCTTCTACAGTATTAATTAATTTTAGCTATACATTTTGGATACAAAACGACCATAGGTTGACATGCATTGAGAGACCTCTGATTCCAGAAAAGCTCCTAGCCACAAATAAAATTTCTGGCGTAATGCTATTGTTTATGAGATCAACTCAACTGATCCTTATACTGTGGTTAATTATGCCATATTGCATTTGCATTGCAGATATCATTTGGGCCCATAAGTTGGTTAATGGTATCAGAGATCTTCCCACTTCGCACAAGAGGAAAGGGGATTAGTCTGGCTGTTCTTACCAACTTTGCTTCAAATGCTGTAGTCACTTTTGCATTCTCTCCATTAAAGGTTTTAGATTCTTTACTTTTGTTTTGTTTTTCTATTCAGGATAAACTTATCATTTTAGTATGACTGCTCTTGTTGTTTATAATCCGCACTGATTTCTGCTGCAGGAGTTTCTAGGAGCAGAAAACCTTTTTCTCCTTTTTGGGGCTATTGCTATTCTATCACTTCTGTTCGTTATCTTTTCTGTGCCGGAGACAAAAGGGTTGAGTTTAGAAGATATAGAATCCAAAATCTTGAAATGACAGCTAATCTAAGATCATTTTATGTGATTGCTGATATTTTGCTGACTCTCTCACCTTGTGTACGTATGGAATTTGATAACCTTGACAGCGTTTTCAGTAGACAATGTGATTTTTAATCTCTAACCAAGATACTCAAATTATGGTTTTAGCATTCATGATTCAATCGCCATGAGGGTTCCCATGCTAACGGAGGACCACCTATAACACGGCACTAATCTTTCGATACATTGTTCATCACTAATTTTATTCTGAAAATTGACTGACAAAATTGATCAATATTTTCTAATCTTGTGATGACACATGCATTTCCTCTAATTTTAGAGGTCAGGTTTGATTCGGGAATTATTTTGAAAGATAAGTCCAGTGTGGCTCTGCTTTTTGGTTTGCTTGTGTAATGCTGCTACAGTTTGACGCTAACTTGCTCTAGCACATACGAATATGATTCAGAATATATGCACCTTATTTTCATGGCTAACATTTGCGTAGTTGGTGGATATAATTTCATGCGAGAAAACATACCGTGGAAAATTCTTTTTGCGTGCATGTCCGCTTCAATTTTCTATTTTCTATGCATGGTTTGACATTTAAGCCTGAGTAGCATAGGTTCTATTTTCATATGTAAAATTAAAATTAAACGTAGATTCTGAAAGAAATTATATTTTGAAATCCCCTAAACTTGTCTGACACGTACTTCTCCTTACCTGAGTCCTCCTTAAATTCACAGAAACAACTAATGAAGTTCTCATATATAGTAATTAAACGAATCCTTGATGACTACCTGTACTGGTGAAGTGAGTATGAAAAAGTGGATACTTTTCTTATTCATTCTCATAAGAATATTCTGTAGCGAACATGAGACTGATTGTGTAATATATAATGTAATACAAATTTACAACACAATTTATCACATACAAATTAAATTTACAAATACACTGAAATTACGCACGATTGTCGGGTACATGCATATACATAGGTAAAAATGCTGAACACAAAATTGGGTAGGAAATACTTTATGGCGGCTTTCAATTTGCCTGAAGAATTCGGCCATGGTTTTCTTCCTGGGCCTCTGTATAGTCTGCATTTTAAAAAGAACAGAGACCAAACGCAATCAGATAGACAATATCATATTACAAAATTGCATGAAGAGGAGATAGATAACTATTGAACAGGTATTGCTGTGTTACCTTGCTGGGCGTTGTAAGATATAGGAACTTGTGATGAAGTGCGAGAAACACTGGTAGATGCTGGCATTTGAGACGAAGCACGAGAAGCATTGGAGTATGATGGCATTAGAGATGAAGAGCGTGAAGCGTTGATAGATACTGGACTCTGAGGTGACAAGCGAGTAGTACTCGGAGTAGCAACATTAGATGCGTCTGCGTATTTTGCAGGTTCCTCAGTTCGGAGCAAAGAAGTGACAGCTTCTCTCACCTTCTCCATCACGCCTGCATCACCAGGAGTTCTGCGAGGACTCATTGCTTCAGATATCACCTGAGACAACGCCTTCTCATCTTCCCCCGGCTCCAGTTTGTTCAAGAAGTACTCTTTCATGGACACACCCTTATCCCATATTTGCGCGGTGGGGCTTGTGTTCTTCCCACTCAGTGAAGGAGCAGCTGATGGTGCTGAAGTTATTGGAGCTGATGTAGTTCGCGGAGTGGTTGTAGGAAACTGGGAAGTTGCTACTCTTGCAAGGGGAGTACGAGGAGCAGAATAGGACAAATTGCTGCGACTTGATTTTGGTGCAAATGTTGCTGGTGATGATGATGATGGTGATGATGGTGATGATGGTGAAGGATGATCATGAAGCTCTGAGGGTTTGGACACAGTGAGACCTTGAACTTTGGAGGTTGCATGTGCAGCATCTGGTTTTTCAGTCTGAACTGTTGACAGTTTAGGTGCTGCCGTTTCAGTGGTTGTCTTGTTTAGAGGAGAAGGAGTACTAGGATGAGTATTAACGTTAATATTAGTAACAGAAGCAGTGGTAGCATTTGGGGTGGTGGCTGTTATTGTTGTTGCAGGGTGCGTTGTTCTCTTGGATAAGGAACGGTACAGTGACCTCTCATGATCTTGTTCGACTACGTGTTTGTCACTGCTTGATACAACATGCTTCTCAGGGATCATAGGATTTGCTCTTGGACTTGGAATCTGCTTTACATTTGCTTTGTACCCAGTAGGTGTCTTCTCTGATTCGTACACTGAGATGTTAACAATGAGACAAGAATTTTAGATTTTAAGGATGAGGAAGAAAAGACAAAGGTTTGTGAAAAACAACGAATGAGGTGTTGTATGACGATGTATATTACTAGGAGCTCCGAGAAATTCAGCATCTTCTTCTGCTCCATCACCTTCTGCGGCAGTAGCAGATGATGGACTACTGAGGTTGCCATCTTCATGTTTTTTCTTGCTGAGGCTGTGGCGCAGTTTCTTGGCCTTCTCCTTGACTTTGGTGAGAACTGATTTTTTGGGATTCTGGGAATGATCATCTTCTGAGTCATGAGAAGACCTCAACCTTTGGAAGAAAGGGGAGCCGGGGGAAGACAAGTTGGAGGAAGGGGAAGAGGAGCAGGTTGGTGAATTCTTACTAGACTTTGAGGACTCCCCTGTATATTCAAACCAAACCATAAACAATAAGCAAAACACTTTACTTTCTATCAATTTCATTGTAAATATTTTCATACCTTGAGTAGACGTGCATGGTAAAACATTATGGTATGAGAAGTCATAATTTTTTGTGAGGAAACGATTACCTCGGAGGAGTTGTTCCATGGTGTGGATGGCAGGGGGAGCTTTTGAAGTAGTTTCAAGTTGTCTCTGGGGGCGTTCGAGTTGAGCCATTTCTGTGTATGAAAGCCGGAACACAATTTACCTCAACCTTGCTATAACTCTGCTTTTATATTTTGGTGTATCCGTGGACAATAAGAGGCAGAAATTGAACACAGAAAACGAACCGTGCTCATGCAATTGCTTCCGGGGTCCCTTTCACCTATGGAGTCCCTTTCCACACGTGTACACTAACAATTTTCCTTACTATACTAAACCTCACAAATAACCACTCCTTAAATTAGTAATTTGACCTGGCTAGAACGACAAAAACCATTCAACTTCTTCCACTCTAAGGTAGATCTATCAACAAATCGATTAAGAAAAATAATTCTTTGACTTACATAATTTTTTATATTAATTTGACACAACTTTTCTTTTACTTTTACTCTTTTTTTTTTAATAGTATTAGAATTATATATTTTTATATTCATTTGACATATATTATGTAAAATGATATTTTTTGTATTTTTTAAGAAAAAAAGAAAGTAAAAAATAAGAAATAATAATATCAAATGAATTCAAAATATATGTATATCAAAACATCATTTTTCTTTTTTTTTTTTAAAAAACAGTTACGTCTTTATAACTATTTTACTTATATATTATATAATGAATGTAAAAGTACGTAACTTTATAGTACTCATCAGTTAAATAATTTTTAAATTATAAGGAAAAAACAAACTGACTCATGTCATTTATAAATAACAACTATAAATTTAAATAAACAAATATTGATGTGGATTATTTTTGGGTATTAGTATAGAATTTTTGTTCGTTTAAACATGTCACAACATAAGATGAACATGGATATCAACGTAGACAACGTAATTTTTTTAAGAAAACAGCGAAATATGGCTGTCGGGCTATAGTAATTAGGATGGATAATATTGAACTTTGTAATGAATTGTTCAAACATTGTTAGCTACATTTTCAGTTACCCACCCCTTTCCATGAGTATAATGATCCAAAGAAACGTGGAACAATTGTTCATGAATTTGTGATATCTGCATATATTAGAAAAATTAAGACTTTTAAATGTTCCAAAAATTATTAAATAAGTTTTGCCTCAATTTTTTTTATTATCCCTATTGTCTTGATTTGTATAAAGTTCACAAAGTTCATATTCCGTTATTTTTTTTACATATGTAAGCAAAAATGCTTTATTAACTATGTATACAGACAAAAACAAAATTTTAAATAGGTATTTAGATAAGTCATGAAGGGTCACGACATCACTCTGACACATCAATCAAAAGTGAAGTCGTGCACTCTAAAATAATTTTAGGTCCGGGTAATAAATTAAGTCTTGTAATCAATTACACAATGCTAAAGTCGTATAAGGGGGCACGAGTTGACCTGTAATCGATTACACCTTTGCCATAGTCAATTACAGAAAGTGTAAATGAGTAAAAACTTTCTTACAAAAAGTGTAAATCGAGATAAACTCTTTATTAATCAATTATAGCCTTTGGTAACCGATCACAATAGGATTTTAGTATTAAAACAAAAAGTTGTTTTGGTTCTTGACCATGTATGTTGTTTATGTTTTTTGATGACATTATTCGAATACACATAATCAATTACCAAAGCTTTTACCTATTTACACATCATATATAATCGATTATGGCAATGGTAAAATCGATTACACGTAAATTTGTGTTTTTCCTACATGACTTTAACACTGTATAATTGATTACAAGATCTAGTAATAAATTATCAAGACCTAAAAATCGTTTTGGGAATGTAGAACTTTACCTTTAACTTATGTGTCAAAGAGAAGTCATACAAGGAACACAACTTTTTTTTTTCTTTATGTGAATTCTTCTCACCCACCACTTTGATGGGGAAAGGGCCCAAAAATATAACAATTTATCAAACAGTAATAACGCAGCGGAAATTCAATCCCCCTTCTTGCAAGAATCTGTGAGGAGCACCAAACAAATAAAACAAAAATACAATCCAAAGCACAAAGAGACACCAACAAGGGTAAAAACCACAAGTCGTCAAGACCAAAGAAAAATCCAATATGATCAATAATAGGGTACAAAACAGTCTCCAATAATAACACCAAATGATGTGTTCAATAAGCCAATTTAAATAAGCACAAATGCTTACAAATGAGAACCAAGAAGATGAAAATTCCACAAAACAGGGCTGCTGGTGCGGGACCGATTTCTCCCAATCTAGACCTCCGATTGACCATCTAGACGGTCAGAATGAAGAACCATATGTCTGGAACCTAGTGTCCAAAAATCAGCTCGATCCAACGGTGAACGAGTTCACAACGAATAAAACACCAGTGTTGGTTTAGGGTTATGCGGGAATGGCTTTCTCTCTTTCTTTTTCTCTCACTTGGTTTTTGCCTCTCTTCAAATGACTCTAATGTGCTCTACTAATCTGACCCATCTCAATTTGACCTAGTGGGACCTAAAGGTCCACATTATTTGGACCTATTCTCCACATAGAAAGGGAGTCCAATAACCCAACAAATCTCCCCCTCACGACTATGTGGAGATATCTGCCAAACAGGCAATCTCAAAACAAACTTCAAACTTTCCTCTTGGCAATGCCTTGGTCATCATATCAACACCATTATCATCTATATGAACATTAGCTAATTCCAACAACATAGCATCCAAAACATCACGTATCCAATGATACCTCACATCAATATGTTTGGATTTAGAATGAAAAGTTGGATTCTTACCAAGATGGATAGCACTTTAACATGTATAATTGATTACAAGATTTAGTAATAAATTATCAAGACCTAAAAATCGTTTTGGAAAGGTACAACTTTACCTTTAACTTATGTGTCCAAAGAGAAGTCACACAAGGAACACGACTTTTTTTCCTTTATGTGAATTCTTCTCACCCACCACTTGCCTGCGTAATAATTTTTTTTTGTCTATACATAAAAAAAACAAAACAAAGCATTTTTGCCTAGATACTTAGAAAAAACCTCATATTCCCAATATATTTCCTCTATTTTCACATTTTTTTTATTACACGTATTTTACGTCATCAACTCAAATTACATATGAAATTTTACTATTACAAGAGATTGGATCCGTTGTTAATACGTGATTCTCTTGGGAACTAAAGATGGTAAAACCCTGAACACCCCATTACCATGACTGAATGGAAGAAACTTGATTTAGAGTGATAAAGAGGATAGAAGAAGAATTCATATTTGCTGAATAATTGTGACCAATTTAACGTTGGTTCTGTATTTTTGCAGATTTCTCAAAATAAAAGGAAAAATCTTCTTTGTTTTCAGAGTACTAACTTAGGACTGATTTCCGGTAGCCCAGTTACTGCTATGCTATGCATGGTCTCCTCAGAAGCCCAACATTGCTCAGGATTCCCGCCACAAATGGCATCATCAACCGTCGCTTTTTCCGATCAGAACAACAAAGATGTGCTGAACTCATTGATATATACGCTCGCGATCGAGCGTTGCACCTTGGCAAGAAGCTGCACGCGAGCTTAATCACCAAAGGTTTCTCTCGTTTCAACGTAATTGCTTCTAACCTCGTAACCTTCTACGTGTGCTGTAGCCAACTCTCCCACGCGCGAAAACTGTTCGACAAAATTCCCACAACAAATGTTCGCCGCTGGATTGCCCTCATTGGCACGTGCGCTCGCTGCGGCTTCTACGATCTCGCGCTGGCGGTGTTCTCTGAGATGCAGGCCATTCCAGGGCTTACGCCAAACTACGTATTCGTCATCCCCAGCGTTCTCAAAGCTTGCGGCCACGTTGGGGATCGAATCACTGGAAAGAAGACGCATGGCTTGATTTTGAAGTGTTCCTTCGAACTCGATTCTTTTGTGTCCAGTTCATTGATAGTTATGTACTCCAAGTGTGCGAATGTTGGGGACGCGCGCAAGGTGTTTGATGGGATGGTTATGAAAGACACGGTGGCTCTAAATGCCGTTGTTGCTGGATATGTTCAACAGGGTGCTGCAAATGAGGCACTGAGTTTGGTGGAAAGTATGAAGTTGATGGGTTTGAAGCCAAATGTGGTGACTTGGAACTCTTTGATATCTGGGTTTTCGCAGAAGGGTGACCAAGGAATGGTGTCTGAGATTTTTAGAGTAATGATTTCAGATGGGTTGGAGCCTGATGTGGTATCGTGGACGTCTGTTATATCTGGTTTTGTGCAGAACTTTCGTAATAACGAGGCATTTGACGCGTTTAAGCAAATGTTGAGTCACGGGTTCTGCCCAACTTCAGCTACTATAAGCACCCTTTTGCCTGCTTGTGCTACTGCAGCAAGAGTTAGAATTGGGAGAGAGATTCATGGCCACGCTTTGGTGACTGGGGTGGAGGGAGATTTATATGTAAGGAGTGCTATTGTTGACATGTATGCAAAATGTGGGTTCATTTCTGAAGCGAGGAATTTGTTTAGTAGGATGGCTGAGAAGAACACGGTTACTTGGAACTCCATCATTTTTGGTTTTGCGAATCATGGGTATTGCGTGGAAGCTATTGAGCTCTTCAATCAGATGGAGAAGGAAGGGGCTGCCAAGCTGGACCATTTAACTTTCACGGCAGCTCTCACTGCATGCAGTCATGTTGGAGACATTGAACTTGGGCAGAGGCTGTTCAAGGTCATGCAAGAAAAATACGGTATTGAGCCACGGCTGGAGCATTATGCGTGCATGGTGGATCTTCTTGGTCGAGCCGGGAAACTCGATGAAGCTTATTGCATGATAAAGGCTATGCCAATTGAACCTGATTTGTTTGTGTGGGGTGCATTACTGGCTGGCTGTAGAAATCACGGGCATGTGGAGCTTGCAGAAATCGCTGCTCTGCATCTGATGGAATTAGAGCCCGAGAGTGCTGCAAACCGTCTTCTGTTGTCTAGCCTATATGCTGATGCAGGCAAATGGGCAAAGGTTGAGAGGATCAAGAAAAGGATAAAGAAGGGAAAGCTCAGAAAACTTCAAGGCTTGAGTTGGATAAATAATTTATAACATTATAGGTCGGTAGAGGCCTTAGGTTTTGCTTCATTGAGAGAATGGTGCACCTAGAGATATAATTTTGGATCTATCGTCTTGTGTTCTTCTGAGGCGACATTTCCTTAACATACTCCGTTGGACCTGTCCATATGGTTGCATCCTTTTTAGATATTGAATACGATGGAAGGAAAAGGAGACGAGTACCATTTCATTGTCTAGATTAGATATTTACGAAGAAATAGATAGCTCCATGCATACCTTGCAGGAAAAGGTGTTGAAACGGAAGTGTCATTCCACTCCTTTCATCGTTTAGGCATTTCCCTATCTAGAATCATAGTAAAAAAGGATGAGAACAACTGAAAATGAATTTAAGTATGGACAGAGGTAGTTTATTTTTTTTTTATTATAAAGAATATTAAAATAACTTTACGATGAATTTATTGATTTTTGAATAAATATTTTATCTAATTGACAGTGTAATTTTTTAAACTAATAATATTTAACCAAAAATATTCAAATACGAAATAGTAACTTCATTATATTTCATTTAATTTCATTTGTCAACATTTAATATGGAGGACAGGAATATTGACAGGATTAAGTCCCTCTTGAAAATGCTAATTACTAGTATATAATACGTGTTACTAAAAGATATGTTGCTTTCCTTTTCTAACGAAAGATCCCCAAAAGGCTATTTGGGCAACAAAAGCACAAGTTCTTCCATTGCATCTCACATACTTGCAACGGGATCGGAAAAAGTTTAGTTCTTGAAAACATGTAACGAATAATTTGCTTCATTCTTTACCTAGTTTTATTTTCAAGCGAAAACGACTTGTGGTCTACTTTTTGTATCTAAAGCATTACTGGGGACCCTAAAACTTTAATCTATTTTTTCCAAGAAACCTAATCCACTTGAAGCCATTTGCGCCTTTGTGTAAGATTCCAAGACCCCTGTATTCTTTTTTTATCTATTTTAAAAGAGAATGTCCCCATTGGATGCCTTTTCTCTTAATCCATACAAGTTTCCTTTAATTGACCTCCAACTAGGTGTCCTTGCGCTTTGAATCTTTAGCTACTTTTTATCTTTTCCTTAAGTAATTCAATTCATAAAGCAGCTTAATAAATTTGTATAATTTAGTTATAAGACTCATCACCTCTTAAGATAAACGATTCAATATATAAATGATAAGTTGCCCAAGAAATAAAAATACCTAGAATTCGGTTCTTCTCAAAACACCTATTTATTTTGCTCAAAATAGACTTGTGCCTTACTCGTAATCTTTAATCAATTAAACCATAGATGATGGTTAATCTTTGACCATTACCACGAAAAAGAAAGCAGAGTGCCCAAGAAGTGAGTTGTGTTATGGGTTAAACAAGAATTCTCCAGGTTGGGATGCGTGTGCTCTGCCTCTATATATATACAAGGTACAAATCCCCGTTCTACTCCCAGTGTACCATTTAACATAGAAACCTACAGCACCCAATTTAAGAAAATGATACATCTCTATCAAACGAAATAACGATCATGAGCTTTAAGATAAAGCAAAAACATTTAATGCCAGAGCATGGTATAAATGTTTGCTGTCTGTTGTTCAGTCTCTTTTATTCAGTGGTTCTGAAAAAGAGATTTAAAACATTCAGGATTACACAATAATAGAACCTATAATTTATGAATCAAGAACTAGTTAAGAATTTACTTTAGAAACAGCTGTCTAGGCAGACCAGAAGAAATAAGCCAGAATTCTCGTAATTAGGTGACAGGAATTAGATATGCGTGCCAAGAAGTTTGCAAATCTGTGCACAGGGTACACAATACTGAATCAGATTGTAATCTAGCTCCACATGGTCTTCTTCATATACTTCCTCAATATTCCATTTGTATGAATTACAGGGTAACAGTCAATGCAGCTATTCTCCTTCTCGGAAAGCTACTAGAAAAAAATCAAGCGGTTCAATCTACAAAAAGAAAATTCATAAGTATATTTCATGGCCATAAAAGCAAATTTGATGGTATTAAAAATACAACCATTCACCACCACCACCAACTGATAATGTCGTAGAATCTAGCAGTGCAATATAAATTGAAATGAAGATATGCACATCAAACATCCTAAACGAAAAAGAAAGTATTACAGGAAGATCCAACGAAATATACTTCCCACATCACAGTACATATTTCTACCCTTAAAAATAAGTTCAAACACCATAAAGCTAGTTCACATTTCAACAAATTCGAGACTCATGGCCAGTTTGTGAGGACAAATTATTACATGAACCAGAACTACTACATTCTGTGATTTCACATAATCTCTACGTGACAGGTAACTGAATATTTCAATTAATGAAAAAGAGCAAATAAACTTAACCATGTGCAGATCATTTAAAGATCATAGTAGTCTTAGATCATGTAATAATTTCTCCAGCAAGTAGTACAAGATCACAAAATAATTTCTCCATGGAGGGAGAGCCATCGATTAATCATTTGATTTGAAGTTGATGTAATAAAGATTCAGTACCTCCAGAGGAGAACACAAACAAACGCACGTATTGCTAAGTTCTAACACAATTAACAAGCCACGTAGAAAACAGAGCATTCAATTTACTCTCAAGCAAGATGCAAGTTAAACACATAACATGTTCCATAAAGAGTGTTGAAATTTCAATCAGTGATAGCTGACCTTAGAGGCTCATTTATCATTGGGAGCAAGGTGAGTCCAATCCCTTTGGTGCAGCATGTTGTAAGGATGGTAAGCTGAGGTGGCGGATGAAGTAGGCATAGGGATTCCCATGTGGCCATGGGCATGGGGCGTGCCGAGGACAAGCATGGACATCATGGGAGGGGGATAGGGCATGGACATCATGGGAACAGGAAGATGAGCATTGGCATGGCCATGGGATTGACCATGGGAATGGGCACTGGGAGGAGCAGAGTCGTGCAAACTCTGAGGCACGGGTGTGGAAGCGAATAACTGATCCGATGAAGAAGGACCTTCGTTGGAGAGACCCTGCATCCGCTTCAGGTAAAGCCGATACTTCTGAAGATGACTCGCCACATTCTCGCGGGTCAACCCTTCCACGTTCATCAACTGCATAATCGTCTTCGGCACCGCGTTCTTGATCCCAAGGTGAGCCACCACGTCGACGAACCGCTTGTGCAGCTGCGGGGTCCACACCAGCCGCGGCCGCTTCACTGCTGTCCGCTCCGCCGAGTTCTCCGTCCGCACCGCCGAGTCCGCCTCCTCCGCCACGCACTCGATCTTCCGATGCTTCCGAGAATCCGACCCCGAGCCGTCGCGATCGGTGTCCTCGTCCTCCTCCTCCTCGTCCTCCTCGTGGTGTTGGTGGTTGTTGGAGGAGGAGAAGGCCTGGTGCACGCTCCCACCGCCGCGCAGCGTGGAGAGCGTGTTGCGTGAGGCCCGGTTGACGTCTAGGGCGGTGCGGTGGGGCTCCGGACATATGCTGAATGCTGTGGCGAGCTCCGGCGGAATCAGCGGCTGAGAGAGAGGCGTGAGATCGTTGGCGGTGGGGAGACCCAGTTCCCACTCCATGACCCGCTCTTCGTCGTACTCGCCCGTCTTCACCTCTTCCCCCATTCAGTTAGTTGTAACTGTCAAAACAAATTTAACCGCTTCTGACACACTCTATGTCCCCGACCCAAACACAAACACAGATATATAAATATCTCTCTCTGAAAACCCAAAAAGGTGTATTGGATTTAGATCCGAAGAGTAAAAATTTGAGAAGATAGAATTAGATAATAGACAGAAGATAGAAGATTCCCGAAAAGGAAAACGAAAATTAGTTGCAACTGTGTGGTGAAGATATTTGGCAGATTCGGCCGTGTGTGGTGGCGACAGAGAAAGTGAAGGGGAGGAGGAAGAGGGATAATGAATAAATAATGATATAGATGAATGAAATAATGCTGCTTATATTTTTTATGAATTTTAATTTCAGAAAAATTGTGAAAAGGAGAGAAAAAGTGCAATATCTTATTCCAGATGGGTGTTGGGTTGATGCCAACGTGGACGACTTAGCCAGATATTTTTGATCCTCTAAATATCTATCTCTCCTCCTTTCTTCTCTTTTTATTTATTTATTATTATTTGTACATAATTAAAATTTAACCTCGCTTCAAATGAAACCACACAAATGAAACCACACAAATGAAACCACACACACGTGCCTCCGCCTTCACCAAAGTGCCCTCCTCCTCGTGCTGCCATTGCCACCACTCACAGCCCACGTCATATATAAATAAATAAATAAATAAATATTCTTCATTTCTCCCGTATTTGAAGGCATTGTACTTAACAAAGTTATACACATCAATACGAATGTGTTAATTGAAAAAATTAATATAATATAAACTACAATTCATCCTTCATCTTCGTTTACAACATAATTATAACTTGAATTTATCTTTAAAATTGTAACTTTATATAGTTTTTGATTCCGTTAATCGTAATTTAATGGGGTTAAGAATAAATTAAATCACGCACGTAGTTTAACTTTACGTGCAAGAGTTTGAAATGGCAAGGCGTATTTAATGTAAATCCAAATCCTAAAAGTTATAAATATTAGATTTCAAAATAAATAGAAGTGTAGTGTAGTGTATATTTTAATTATTATTATTATTATGACAAGTTTTTTCCTTAAAAAATTTATATATTCAATGACAATCTGTTTTTTATATTATAAATATATTGACTTTTTTTCTGCAAAATATTTACTTATTTACTTCAAACTTTAAAATTATCTTTTGATTCTAATAAAAGTATTTATTAACATTTATCTAAAGTATAAAGCTAAAATAAAATTAGACCTAATACACTAATTAAAGTTTAGGCATGATGAGATGGACGGTTGGCTTATCCACAACCTTAAATATAGTGACGATAACAAGAAACCGACATTAACTATAAATTTGAAGTGACGGAAATTAAGAAAACACAACTGCGGTATAAAATAATCTCCAGAGGTCTCATTGAAAGAGTATTTTACTTTTTGGCTGTTCTTCAATATAAAGATTATTACATTAATTTTTAATTTGCCTTTTTTAAGATTTTATTTTTTTACATCATTGTA